TTATAGTCTGTAGTTTGAGCTGTGTTCATTTCCACAAAAATATCCAGTGGTACACTGATGTAAAAAAAAAAACAAAAAAAAAACATTTTATTGTTTGAGTTCTGTTTAAACAATATTAGCACACGTGTATCTTTTAAAGGGAAAAAAGTGATTGTTTCTCCAAACATCTGCTTTTTAAATCTACTTGTTATTCAGTTATGTAGTCTTTTTTATTATCTTTCTTTAACAACAGCAGAGCTTAACTGAAGGAGGGAGATTTAAAGGGTGATTGAAACACTGAACTTGGAAGTGAGAGGAAAACATAGATTATTGCTACTGTTGTTATTATAAGAAATAATGTATTTCATTTCTAAACAATGTATTTCTACTAAGAGGTCTCAGTATTCTCTGAAGGCCAGTCAAAGCAGGCTTGTCTTCTCATTTTTTGCATACAACTGGACAAGTAAATGTTTTGCTTAGCCATCAAAATAAGTGCCACATTATTATAAGTTTTGTATAAAACATCATTAACAGCTCCCTCCCAAACGCATAGCTGAAAAAGCTATTGCAATCTTTTCTTCAATGTATGATGAACATGAAAAGCTTCTTTCTTTCCCTTGTTTTCCTTTAAAACAATTGTGCCCTGCTGTATAACCTTTCCCGAGTCTGTTCTTCAGTGACACAGTTACTGTTGCTATCTTACTCCTTCTCGATGTCTGGACATTACCTTAGATAGATATAAAACAAAAATACAGCCAAGAGACTATTAGTATATTATGATCATGGCCTTAAATTCATCTCAGGAAGTGCATAGTCCATTGTGGATGGTGGTTTGTAGGTGCTAAGGGAGAGATCAGGCTACCTATTCTTGTGGGCTCCCTGAGTTAACATCTGCTAGGTAGTTATTTCAGGCTTCAGGAAAATAGACTCACAGATCCAGCAGTCATTTAGTGCATTAACATGCATTAATGTACAGCATGATTTTGGCAGTGATACGTGACTTAAACAGCTTAATATTACTTCTCAAAAAAGCAAAAATAACAAACGCCCCCCTCTACCCT